ACTGTCCCAGGTACTGAATCATCTGGCACAACTGTTCCCGGCACTGAATCATCCAGCACTACACCAGAATCATCTATTCCAAGTACTGTGACCATTACTTCTGAAACTACCTTTTCAACACAAACCACCACGTGTAAGCCTACCCATTGTGTGACTATCATCAAGTGTGGTGACAAGCGTTGTTGGACCAGGTCAAGATGTAAGACTACTCAATGTTCTACTACAACAACACCAGGTACTGAATCATCTGGCACAATTATCCCAGGTACTGAATCATCAGGTTCTACTGTCCCAGGTACTGAATCTTCAGGGTCTACTGTTCCAGGTACTGAATCTTCAGGGTCTACTGTTCCAGGTACTGAATCCTCAGGTTCTACTGTTCCAGGTACTGAATCATCTGGTACAACTGTCCCAGGTACTGAATCATCTGGCACAACTGTCCCAGGTACTGAATCATCTGGCACAACTGTCCCAGGTACTGAATCATCTGGTACAACTGTTCCAGGTACTGAATCATCTGGCACAACTGTCCCAGGTACTGAATCATCTGGCACAAGTGTTCCAGGTACTGAATCATCAGGTTCTACTGTCCCAGGTACTGAATCATCTGGTACTACTGTTCCAGGTACTGAATCATCAGGTTCTACTGTCCCAGGTACTGAATCATCAGGGTCTACTGTTCCAGGTACTGAATCTTCAGGGTCTACTGTTCCAGGAACTGAATCCTCAGGTTCTACTGTTCCAGGTACTGAATCATCTGGTACAACTGTTCCCGGCACTGAATCATCTGGCACAACTGTCCCAGGTACTGAATCGTCAGGGTCTACTGTTCCAGGTACTGAATCTTCAGGTTCTACTGTCCCAGGTACTGAATCATCTGGCACAACTGTTCCAGGTACTGAATCATCTGGCACAACTGTTCCCGGCACTGAATCATCCAGCACTACACCAGAATCATCTATTCCAAGTACTGTGACCATTACTTCTGAAACTACCTTTTCAACACAAACCACCACGTGTAAGCCTACCCATTGTGTGACTATCATCAAGTGTGGTGACAAGCGTTGTTGGACCAGGTCAAGATGTAAGACTACTCAATGTTCTACTACAACTATCCCAGGTACTGAATCATCAGGTTCTACTGTCCCAGGTACTGAATCTTCAGGGTCTACTGTTCCAGGTACTGAATCTTCAGGGTCTACTGTTCCAGGAACTGAATCCTCAGGTTCTACTGTTCCAGGTACTGAATCATCTGGTACAACTGTCCCAGGTACTGAATCATCTGGCACAACTATCCCAGGTACTGAATCATCAGGTTCTACTGTCCCAGGTACTGAATCATCAGGGTCTACTGTTCCAGGTACTGAATCATCAGGGTCTACTGTTCCAGGTACTGAATCTTCAGGGTCTACTGTTCCAGGTACTGAATCATCAGGGTCTACTGTTCCAGGTACTGAATCATCAGGTTCTACTGTTCCAGGTACTGAATCATCTGGTACAACTGTTCCAGGTACTGAATCATCAGGTTCTACTGTGCCAGGTACTGAATCATCTGGCACAACTGTCCCAGGTACTGAATCATCTGGCACAAGTGTTCCAGGTACTGAATCATCAGGTTCTACTGTCCCAGGTACTGAATCATCTGGTACTACTGTTCCAGGTACTGAATCATCAGGTTCTACTGTCCCAGGTACTGAATCTTCAGGGTCTACTGTTCCAGGAACTGAATCCTCAGGTTCTACTGTTCCAGGTACTGAATCATCTGGTACAACTGTTCCCGGCACTGAATCATCTGGCACAACTGTCCCAGGTACTGAATCGTCAGGGTCTACTGTTCCAGGTACTGAATCTTCAGGTTCTACTGTCCCAGGTACTGAATCATCTGGCACAACTGTTCCAGGTACTGAATCATCTGGTACAACTATCCCAGGTACTGAATCATCTGGTACAACTGTTCCAGGTACTGAATCATCAGGTTCTACTGTCCCAGGTACTGAATCATCAGGGTCTACTGTTCCAGGTACTGAATCTTCAGGGTCTACTGTTCCAGGAACTGAATCCTCAGGTTCTACTGTTCCAGGTACTGAATCATCTGGTACAACTGTTCCAGGTACTGAATCATCTGGCACAACTATCCCAGGTACTGAATCATCAGGTTCTACTGTCCCAGGTACTGAATCTTCAGGGTCTACTGTTCCAGGTACTGAATCTTCAGGGTCTACTGTTCCAGGTACTGAATCTTCAGGGTCTACTGTTCCAGGTACTGAATCATCAGGTTCTACTGTTCCAGGTACTGAATCTTCAGTGTCTACTGTTCCAGGAACTGAATCCTCAGGTTCTACTGTTCCAGGTACTGAATCATCTGGTACAACTGTCCCAGGTACTGAATCATCTGGCACAACTG